TTTGACAATTCTCTGCTTCCTTGAACTCCAACATATTGCTGCTCCATTTAGAAAGAAAACATAGCCTGTGCTCTTCCTGTTGTCAATATCTCGCGCGTATCCCAAAAGATTTACATCCTTACTCTATTTGTAATAAACTCCAACATCTAATGTGTCTTTTAAATATCTCAGTACCCTTTTAGCAATCAACATATGTTCTTCTTTGGGATCAGCCATATAACGAGAAATCAAGCAAACCACAAACATTAAGTCGAGTTACCGTAAGGTACATTAAGCATCTTACTAGTTGTTTGTACAATGTTGCATCGACACTTTTTCTACCTGACTTTGACAAGAAGATGCCAGGGACTATCGGATTCTTTACCGCATTACAATTCGACATATTGAACCTCTTTTTACCGCATTACAATTCGACATATTGAACCTCTTTAATACTTCCTTAGCATACTTCTTTTGGCACAAATGAATTCCTCCTTTGTTTTGATAAACTTCAACTCCAAGGAAGAACTTCATTTTCTCCAAGTCTGTCATCTCAAACTCCTGTTGTAACGGCCCAGATCCACCCCTAGCAGATATTGTCCTCTTTGGGCTTTCCCTTTCGGGCTTCCCCTCAAGGCTTTAAAACGCGTTTGCTAGGGAAAGGTTTTCACACCCTTATAAATGTTATTTTGTTCTCCTCCCCAACCAATGGAGGACATCACAATAATGTAACGACCCAGGAAAAAGAAAAAAAAAAAAAAAAAACCGCCCGAGTTTCATGGACACCACGCGAAATTACAGTCACACCTCGCTCAACCTTTAGCCCACAACTCCCAGAATCAATCAGAGTACCTGCAAACAGAGAAAAGGACGAAAATATGAGAGAGAGAGAGAGAGAGAGAGATATTTCGAATAACGTCAGCGAGTTTTCAATTCCTCCATGAGCCCCAAACCACCCTAAAACTGACGCCAAACGCTCAATTACCACCACGAGAAGGATCCCTAACGAAAGCACAATAACTCAAGGTACGTTTTGTGCCTTTAAGCGCCGTCATCGGTAACCGAGGTCGAAAAATTGAGTTTTCCTAAACGTTCTAAGATCTGTGATTTTAGGAACTTTTAGGCCGCAAAACTCTCAGAAAGGAAAGAAGGACGACAAACAAAGAGGAAAAGGAAGAAAGAGGACTGAAATCAGCAATAGAAATGCCGTGGATAGAAGAGAGAAAACACGCTAGAAAATCGGCCGAAGTCGGGTAAGGAACTGGGTCAACCCGAACCCAAAACTCGAGAGAGCCAGCCCGACTTCTTTCCCTCGGCCTCTGCCTTCGGCCTAGCCCAACTACAGCAGCCCAAACCTCAAACCAGCCCAGAAGCTACAGTTCAGTTAAACCAACCTGAGACCAGACCCACGGTCCAATCGAACCGATCTGCAACCCAAAACACTTGTGGCCCAACCCAGTAGGCCGAGGCCCAGCGATTAGTTTGGCCCAGTAGCCTCTGCAGCTCGTGACCCGAATCGAACTGTGACCCTTGCCTCGACCCGACGCTACCGCACGATGTGGCTCGTTCTACTGCTGCCACGTGTCACACAGCGGCGCAGACGGTCCCTCAGCTCGGCTCGGCGCAAATGGCTCGAGCTCCCTCCAATGACGCTCCGACGGCTCCCAGCGGCTGTTCAGCTTGGCTCACCTGTTTTCGGCTTGGTTTCCACCTTTTCGACCCTCTCAAACCTGATTTTGGCCCCGATTAAGGTATTTGAGGCCGTTTTAGAGCCATATTTCACATTTATTGAATTATTGGTAAATTAATTGTGAAATACTAATGGAAGGTGGCGAACGGTATGATAGGAAACAAACCCCAACAACGTAGGAAGTAGCTCTCACGGAACGGGAGCTTATGTTTAGCTAATTAGGGAGTACTTCGGCCAAGACCAATCAAGTAAGTGGCCTAGGATAGGCTAAAGATTGTTAGAATTATGATGATGTGTGAGTATGACGTTGTGTTGTGTTGTCTGTTAAATGTACGCTATTTATGTTTCGATGCATGACGTACAGGTTATATTTGATGCCCTTAATAGCTTCTATGATGAGTATGATGTATGCATGATGATGTTATTAACATGATGATGTTTTCCATGTTGAACATGCCTTATGATGTTGTTTGCCATATTGCATCATGTCGTTAGATCGACATAGAACACAACCCTAAGAGTATGAAAATGATATTAATGTAAATATCCACGAACACGTTTTACATAGTGTAACCAAGAGATGAGATTAGAGGGTTGTGTCAGAAGAGATGTATAATTGGACTTAGAGATACCTCATGCATATTGTATATAGATAAGCATAGTGCTACTTCCCCTAGAGATGATGAGTGCGGACGCGCACCGTATGATGAGCGCGAATGCGCACAGGTGCGAATGCACATAGATGAGGGTGTTCATGAGGCGCATGACACTATGGGGTTCCGCTGACCTCTAGACGTCGCTACAGATTAGCTTGATCAGAGAGTCCAGGGGGTGTGCGAGCGCCCTGGAGATTCACACTCGCACGTGTGAGTCGTGTGTAGGGAAGTACTACACATCCAATTTGTCCGAGACTGGAGGCCATCCTTAAGATGATTAGAGATAGGTCCCTAATTCATGATTGCATGTGTTTGCATTAGCATGGCCCCTATAGTGGGGTCACTTACTGAGTATTTCTGCCGTGTGCCATTTTTTTTTCAGGTAAAGGCAAGGCTCCCATGTACGGTTGACAGTGGCATCGTGATCAGAGACTGTGGCGCGTCCATAGAATAGTTGCATATTTAAAATTCCTAGTCTTGGTTAGGATAGGGTGTTTGCATTTCGTTTATTTAAATTATTTAATTTGTAATTGTTTTATCTTATTTTTAACTCCATCACGATGTTTGAAACACGTAAGTCTGACAGTGTTTTCTAATGTTTTAACGTATTCTAAAATTTTAAACTTTTCCACTAATAAAGATGAGGATTCTTAAAGTTATATTCGAGATGAGCATGAGACGTTAGTGGCGACTTTAGATATGTGGAAATTTAGGGTCGCTAGACCTATTGCATTGATAAATTGAAACATTTGCACATATTCTCATCATCTCCTGTGTAAATCAAATCATTAACGTACAGGCAAACCAACAACAATTTTCTTCTAATTCTCTTCAAGAACAAGGTGTGATCATAATTACTTTTCTCAAATCCTTCCTTCTTAAAATAGCTGTCAATTTTGCTGAACAAGGCCCTCGGTGCTTGTTTCAGGCCGTAGAGAGCTTTCCTCAGTCGATAAACCTTGTTCTCTTCTCCCTTTTTGACAAAACCTTCAGGCTGATCAGCATAGACCTCCTTGTTTAATTCACTGTATAGAAAAGCACTTTTGATGTCAAGTTGATAGATGCACCATCGACGTTGAGCTCCTACTGCCACTAGAATTCTGATTGTATCCCATCGAGCTACTGGTGCATAAACTTCATTGTAATCTACTCCAGCCTTCTACAAGTTTCCCTTAGCGACAAGTCTCGCCTTACATTTGTCTACTTTGCCTTCTTCATTCAGTTTCATCTTAAAGACCCACTGGACACCGATTTTCTTTGCTTGATGCAGGAATGTCACAAGCTCCCATGTCTGATTTCTTTCAATAGCTTGAATTTCAAGCTTCATAGCCTCCTGCCACTTCTTTTCCTTTATTGCTTCTTCAAAGTTCATAGGATCATCATTGGAGATGTGAAAAGGAAACCCCTCCTCGACCTCTTCTTCTTCAAATAGGTGATCACATGTTTCATAATCGCGCATCCAAACTGGCTCTCTCCTTTGTCTTGTTTGTTGTGACAACTCTGGGGAAGATTCATCCATTTCTTGGATTTCTTCTGTCATTTGCTTCTTCATTTGAATCTCCTTCTCCATCAGTCTCTCCTCCTTCCAATTCTTCTGCAACAACATTATCATCATCTCCCCAAGCCAATAAATCCTGCTTTGCATTTTTTGTACTTGAATTTTGGTCTCATTTTGCACCTTCTTCAAATATGACATCCCTGCTCACAATTATCTTCTTTGTTGCTCGATCATACAAGCGATAGGCCTTAGATTCATCACTAACTCCAAGTAAGACGTATTTGAGACTTCGATCATCAAGTTTGGTTCTCTTTTGTTTGGGAATATGGACATGTGCAATTGAACCAAATACTCTAAAGTATTCCACATTTGGTTTTATGCCCGACCACTTCTCCTCAAAAACCATGTCCTTGATTGCCTTTGTGTAATTGCGACTCAGAGCATGAGTTGTCCATCTAGCTACTTCCGGCCACAACTTCTTTGGCATCTCTTTCTCAGATAAAAGACACCGTACCATATTCATGATAGTCCGGTTCCTTCTTTTTGCAACTAAGCTTTGTTGGGGAGCGTATGCAGCTGTTAGTTGTCACTTGATCCCGTTATCTTTGCAGAACTTGTTGAATTCATTTGATGTCAATTCTCCTCCCCGACCAGTTCTGAGTCCACGTATGGCTGTTTTTGTTTCATTTTCAACAAGATTTTTGAAGTTTTTGAATGTTTCAAAAGCTTCTGATTTATATGCAAGAAAATAAATCCATGTCTTGCGAGAAAAATCATCTACAAGTACCAGCAAGTACCTTTTACCACTATGAGAGGTTGGAGTGACGGGTCCACAAAGATCTCCATCAATTCCAGTTTGTTTGATGCTCTCCATTTGCTTTTCTTTGAAAATTTTTGCCGTTGTTGCTTCCCAACATTGCAAATTGTGCAAACTTTGACAACTTCCTTTAATTTGGTAATCCTTCCCCCCTTTGTTTTTACTGTATGATATGAATAGATTTACTATTTAAATGCCCATACCTCTTGTGCCACAGAGCCTCCAAGTCTTCATCTTCTATTTTCAAACATTTGTCAACCAATGGCTTCATCTTTGCATGAACTGAGAATATGCGATTTGCAGTCATCTGTGTGTTCATTATCAGGTCACTTTATTGATGATAGATTCTGATTAAGATCACTAAGCTCTTCTATGTAGCTGCCCTATACTTAGCAAATTGTTGGTGAGATTGGGGACATAGTAGACATTTGTCACGGTGTGTTTGAAACTTTCGTCAAGCTCAACGAACCATGTTTTGTTCCCTGTCATATGATGATTTAAGCACCCAGAATCAAGAAACCAAATGCCTTCTCTTTCAACTTTACTTTTCTTTGTGTACGCCATCAATAGTAGTTCTTCCTCCTCGTCAAATTCAACATAATTGACAGCTTCTTTTTCTAAGCCTGGACATTCAAATTGGTAATGTCTTTGCTTTCCACATCGAAAGCAATTGATGGCCGACCGATTCACAAAGATCTACATCTTCCCCGTCCTCTAGAGTAACCTCTTCCTCTCTGAAATGTCCCTCTGTCTCTTCCTTGTCCATACCTTGGTATATTCTCTACCTGCAGAACCTGCTCTTCACTCCTCTTATCAATCACCTCTTGTTCATGTACAAGCAAAGATGCCTGTAATTCTTCAACTGTTAATTGGTCAATGTTCTTGGATTTTTCAATTGAGCATACTACGAAGTTTAATTTATCGGTGAGACTTCGAAGTATTTCCTCATGTCAATAGCAATAGACATAACTCTTGTAAAATACTCGGAAACACCTTCTCCTGCTTTCATCTCTAAAGTTTCAAATGTTCTGCGAAGTCGTTGTAGCTGGGCTCGCTTCACTCTAGCATTTCCTTGATATTTGAGTTTCATTAAATCCCACAATTGATTGGCAGTATCCTTTTGAATGATAGTTTTCAGAATACTCTTATCAATGGATTGAAAGAGATAATTCTTTGCTTTGAGATCCGAGTCTTGTTTCATCGATTGCCTTTTGCTGTGCTGCGCTTAGTGCTTCGTTTCCTTTTGGTTCCTCGAAACCAGATTGAATAGCACTCCAATATTCCTTGTAATGCAAGAGATTTTCCATGAACAAACTCCAATTCTCGTAGTCTCCATCGAATTTAGGAACACATGGTGTAGCAAAACTTCCTGAATCACTTGCCATTTGTTCAGTGTTTTTCTTCTCAATCACTCAATTTGTGTATTTCTTTTTCCGGTTCTTTCTGATTCTTATACCAAATAAAGGAACTGATTATCTTTATTGAATTGAAGAATAAGTAAAGCCTTACAAAATTGAATAACAAACCAACGGAATCAAAATACAAATCAACTCCTACAAATTAGCTATTGAAAACAAATAGAAAACTACTTCCTATTAATTAGCTATAGCGTTGCATACCAAGTCAAAAACTCCAACACTAACACCTAAAAGTAGTTTCCCTCCCGACTAGTCTTTGTTTGACCGACGATGGGTACCATTTGCGACTTTTCACTCGTGTTCTAGGGCAATTGTGAAAAGCTTATTTATATTTCTAATATCTTAATATTCCCTTAAAAAAAATAGTTACAGCACTATAAGTACGAACTTAAAACAGAAACCCAAATCTGGAAGTACTAATAGGGTCGTTTGAAGCACGCGCATAAAGAAATGAATCACAGTTGATATTTTTTCGTTGTTATTGTGAGTTATGTTTAAATTTCGACACGTATGATTAGCATCCAACACTCAAAACTGGTTTCACTCCCGACTAGTTTTTGTTCGACCAACGTGGGGTATCATTGGTGGCTTTTTGCTCGCGTTCTAGGACTGTTCTGAAAATCAACCTTCTCTTTCCAATATCTTAATATTCTCTTAGGAAATAATACTGAGACTTGAATTTTGGAGAAACATAACAAACATTGTAGGTACTGGGTTAATTCTAAAACCCTAATTGGGCTGTGTAAAGCACACGTGTGAAAAAACTGAGGTCGATATTTTTGCAACGTTATTTGAGGAATGTTCAAATTCGATGATTTTGACACGTATGATTAGTAACTTACCACCAAAACTAGTTTCACTCCTGACCAGTTTTTTGTCGACCGACATTTGAGTTCCATCGGTGGCTTTTCACTCGCGTTCTAGGCAGTTTCAAAAAGCTTCTTTCTCTTTCCAATATCTTAATATTTCCTTAGGAATAATGCTGCGACTTGATTTTTAAAAAAAGAGCCTATAACACTGTCGTAAGAGCTTAAGATCGAAACTCTAATTGAGCTGTTTGAAGCACACCTGTGAAAGAACTAAGTCACGATCGAGATTTTTTTTCGATGTTGCTGTGAGAAAGTTTCTAATTTGAAGATTTTGACACATGATCCGCAAGTTTTTGTTCGACACGCATGAGAGTACCATTGACGGATTTTTGCTCATGTTCTAGGACAATTCTGAAAAGCTGTTTCCTCTTTCCAAAATATTCCCTTCGGAAAGATTATTAGGAATTGATTTTTAGAGACAAAGAGCGTACAACACTGTACGTAGGGCTTAAAACTGAAAACCTAATTTGATCATTTAAAGGAGGCACGCGAAAAAAATGAGTCAAGTTCAATATTTTTTTGACGTTATGAAGAATGTTCAAATTCAATGATTTCGACACGTATGATAAGTGGCCAACACCCAAAAGAGGTTTCCCTCTAAACCAATTTTTTCCACCGACCTAGTACAATCAGCAGCTTTTCGCTCACATTCTATGACAGTTCAAAAAGCTGGTTTCCCTTTCCAATATCAAAATATTCCCTTCAAAAATAGAATTTGAGAGATAAAAGGCTACAATATTGGCTTAAAATCAAAACTTTAATTTGAACATCCTAATTAATTTGTTTGAATCACAAGTGCGAAAAATCTGAGTCACGGTCAATATTTTTCGACATTGTTGTGAGGAATTTTCATATTTGATGATTTTGACATGTATGATCAGCAACCAACACCCAAAAACGGTTCGCTCTTGGCATCGGGTACAATTGGCAGCTTTTTGAACGATATCGAGTACCATTGGCAGCTTTTCGTTAGTGTTCTAGGGCACTTCCAAAAAGCTATTCTTTCTTTCCAAAATATTCTCTTAGGAAATAGTACTGGGAGAAAAAGAGCCTACAGCACTTACATACGGGCTTCAAATTGAAACACTAATTTTGAAACCCTAGTTGGGCCATTTGAAGCACGCGAGGGAAAAACTAAGTTACGGTCGATATTTTTTCGACTTTTTTTTGTCAAGAATTTTCAAACTCGATGATTTTTACACATATGATTGGTAATTAATGCATAAGAATGGTTTCGCTCACGACTAGTTTTTGTTTGACAAACATCGGGGTACAATCGGTGGCTTTTTTGCTCGTGTTCTAAGGCAGTTCTATAAAGCTACTTTCTGTTTCCAAAATATTCTCTTAAGAAATATTATTGGGACTTGAATTTCAGAGAAAAATAGCCTACAACACTTTACGTACTGGCTCAAAACTGAAACCTTAATTTGGAAACCCTAACTAGGTCGTTTGAAGCACGCGCACAAAAAGAATGAGTCACTGTTGATATTTTTTTGACGTTGTGGAGAAGAATGTTCAAATTTGATAATTTTGTCACAAATAATTCTCAATCAACTTTCAAAACTATTTTTGTTAGATCGATGTTAGGGTACCATCGACAGATTTTCGCCCGCATTCTAGGACAATTCTGAAAAACTATTTTCTCTTTCCAATATCATAGTATTCCCTAAGAAAACAGCACTGGGACTTGAAATTTAGAGAAAAAGAGCCTACAACACTCTAAGTACGGGCTTAAAACGAAAACCCTGATTGAGATGTTTGAAGCACACGCATGAAAAAATTGAGTCATGGTCGATATTTATTCGACGTTGTTGTGAGAAGTTTCAAATTTAATGATTTCGATACATATGGTCAGCAACCAATACCTTAGAGTAGTTTTTCTCCTGGTCAGTTTTTGTTCGACCAACGTCGAGGTACCATCGGCGACTTTTCGCTAAGTTACAGTTCTAAAAAGTTGCTTTCTCTTTCCAATATCTTAATTTTCCCTTAGGAAATAGTAATGAGACTTAAATTTTAGAGAAAAAAAACTTACAGCACTTTATGTACATGACCTAATTTGGAAACCCTAATTAGGTCATTTGAATGTTGAGCACGAAAAAACTGACTCACGGTTGATATTTTTATCATTGTTGGGAGAAATATGCGTATTCGATGATTTTGACACGTATAATCTACAACCAACACCCAATTTTTTTTTTTTTTTTTTTTTTTTTTTTTCTC